ATGGAAAGAGCCCAGAGGTAAGTAACAGGGCCGGGTAAAAGAAGATGAGAGTAGCCAAGAAGTGAAATTGTGCACACCTGAGGAAGGGTACTGAAGAGGGAAGAAGGCTGGAAGGCTTACTGTTAGAGTAGCATCACATACTGCCAATCTCTTCCACATTTAGCTGTGCCTTTAAAAACTCTGAATGAAAAACTGACAATGACAGCAAAGATTGGTTCAGGTAAGTATAATCAGTAGATGCTAAATCTGTGGGAGAAACTTTGATAAGGAGAAGGATTGCTTACATGGCCTTAAAGTGTCTCTCCAAAATTGTGAATGAGTAAATATACATAAATAGTTGAACACCTTAACCAGATGATCACAACAAACAGCACCATGAGGAGAAGATGGACTTTGTGTGCCTCTGGATGTGGTAACCTGAGCACAAATCATCACTTATGTAGCATTGTCACTTGAATTGCATAAGCGCCACAGAAGCATTAAGAAACATCAATCAAATGTTGCAAAGAGAAACACTTTTCTTAAAGGGGAGGACTGTCTCATTCAAAAATATCAGTGCCATAAAGACAAAGAAAGCCTGAGGAACTCTTAACGGAAACTAGAGAGACAGGATGTAGTAGCTTCTCATTGCTGCTATAACAAGTACTACAAACTTGGTGGCTTAAAGCAGCACAAATTTGTTATTTTACAGTTCTGGAGGTCAGAAGTTTAAAATAGGTCTGAATAGGTTAATATCAAGGTGTTCATTAGGGCTGTGGTTCTTTTGGATGCTCTAAAGGAAAAATCATTTTCTTTGCCTTTTCCAGCTTCCAGAGGCAACGTGCATTCCTTGACTTGTGAATCCCTCTTCCATCTTTGAAGCCAGCAGTGTAATATTTTCAAATCTCCCTCTCTGGCTCTGAAACGCTTGCCTCCCTTTTATAAGGACTCATGTAAATCAGAGTGGGACCACCCAGATAATCCAAAATAACTTTTCCAGCTATAAATCCTTAATTTAATTATATCTGCAAAGTCCTTTTTGCCACGTCAGGTAATTTATTCCCCAAACAAGGCATCTTTGGAAGTCATTATTTACATGGTATCAAAATGAAAATTACGATCCTAGATAGGATCTTATACTGAAGGAAAAGACATGAAAAAAAAAAAAAAAGGCTAAATTGAAATAGAGACCTAGATTTAAGTACTATAATTATTGTAAAATTTATTGAAGTAGCAAAGGTACTGTGTTTAGGTAAGAAAACATCCCTGACATAGGAAATACACACTGAAGTATTTACGAGTAAATGGCCATGTATACGTCAGTATACAACTTATTCAAGAAGCTCAGAAACATAATAAGACACACATGTATACACAGAAAGAAAGCAACTGATACAGCAAATGAGGCAGAATGTTAAAAATAGGTGAAATTGGTAAATCTGAATTAAAGGACACAGGGGTGTTCTTTAAATATTCTTGCAACTTTTTGTAAATTTAAAATTATTTGCAAATAAAAAACTAAAAGAAAACTGATGAATATATACTTTAAGTAAAAATTGAAGAAGGAATAAGATATAGCATTCGGTAGCAAAATAGGTGATACAGTTAATAAAAATGTCTGTTTCAAAATAACTAAAAGAGTGGAATTGGAATGTTCCTAACACAAAGAAATGATAAAGTTGAGCTGATGAATATTCCAGTTACTCTGATTTGATCATTACACACTCTATGCTTGTATCAAAATATCATGTGCACCCCATAAATATATACAATTCTGAAGTTCGTATGTAATAGACTGAGAAAGTAATGTTTTTATGATAACATTACTAGTAAATGTAAAAGACCAGAAATATCTATGTATTCTTGAAGGTTAGGAAGTTAAAGGAAATTTTAACAGTCCAGCAATATAATAGTTTCAAAGAGTTTAAAATAGCATTGGTGATTACCGTTAGAGTTAAACACTAAGTGGCTGATCACACCCTGCTATTTGTGAGAGAGAATCTGCTAGGTAATTTTCTAAGAAGGACCTTGGAAAAGTGAACTCCCTTTTCCAGGAGAATTTAGCTGATTTTTTTTTTTAACAAAAGCAAAATAAAAATAAAAATAAAAGTATATTCTATTCTAGAGCTTTCTTCTGCCCAGTGCCCATTGGCAGAATTTTATTGCTTTGGCCCGAGAGAATCTTTCTGGCACCCATTCCCACTCCACCCTCTATTGTTTAAAGACAAAAGATAAGGCAGCTGGGACTCTGACCACTCGCAAATAATCAGAGGCCTCCCCACTGGGAAACTCCTCTGGTCTTGGCAGAAACGAACATTTCAAAATGAAGGTAAAACAAAGGGTGAGACCCCTGGTTCTGCCCAATGCACTAAGCATGGCCTTGTTTTTCTTGCCCACAGTGGTGGCCAAGAAGAACAGTGTTTCTCCAGTTGTGCCAGGACAGCATGCCAGAATCAAATAATAGCAGACTTTTCTCAATTACAGAAACAAGCACAAAATATGTGGCAGTGAATCAGCTTTATTTTCACAAGCTTGGCTCTTGCTATCACTAGCCGACATTGAAATCTATGATTTAGCACATTCTATGATTATACCAGCACAAAATATTCTATTTAGTTGTTTTCAGTTTAACATTTGTTTTTCAAAGAGCAGCAGGTTATCTTTGAGTGCTTGGCAATCACAATCCTAAATGCTGCTGCAGTCAGGAAGGATCTGGGGTGGGTCTTTATTACCAGAGGCTTCCCTTCAAACACTTTCCCTAAGTATTGAAATTATTTAGATTCTCACTTTCTGTAACCCAGGGTTAACCTAGGGGTTTCTTTTTAAGACTCTTGGCACTTTCTAATTGTATAACCTTGGGCAAAATACTTTTGAGCTGTAAAGCTCAATATATCATTTGTAAAATAGGAATCATACCTTCCTCAGAGTTTTTCTAATCAGCCAAGAAAATTAATATGTGAAATCATTTCTCAAATGGAAAAGATTTATAAAAATGCCACATAATACCCCCTTCCTGCCTTCCCAATTACTAAACTTTTTGAACATAAGATCATCGCCTAATTGATGTGTGTTTGTTTCTTAAAGTGTCTGGTAAAGTGCTGGCTCCTGGTTAGTTTTTCCTAACTAAATACTTGCCGACTAAGTAATCAAATAATAAAATTAATTAACTTCCAGGCTGCTAATAATTTTCCATTTCTATTTCCAGAGAACTCCCCCTAACTCAACAGGATAGACATTGACCTAGGCTTGAGGATAAATGGTTCAGCATGAAGATACATGTTCTAAGGAGTTCTAAAAAACTTTAGGTAGTTCACGCTAAAATGCTTATGAATAAAAAGAAATGTAGCTTTGACATTCTCTTGAAATGACAGCCTTGTAGTCTTTGAAACGCATTTTAAGCACAGGCACATAATGATATGCTTAAATTGGTAACAACTTTGATGAACTGATCCACAAAAATTGGTCAAAACCTAAAACAACTTGCACAAAGTAGATATATATAATAAGGTTTGGTAGATTATGGAAAGATGAGAGCTGTAGAGAGGAGAGTAACTCAAATGGTTTCAAATTTACTCAACAAACAGTATAGTAGTTGAAATGAGTCAACATAAAACAACTTGTCAAAGCATGTTGAAAGATATAAGCAAACTTCAAAGTATAGAAGATTAACATAAAATTATTAAGTATTCAAAAAGTTCCATGTCTTATGTATGGGTGCATACACTGCAGTAAACATATAAGAGAATGCTTCTCCTGCTCTATGTAACACCAGCGAATGCTGTCCACATTATAAGCCCTGAAAGCACACGTTGGAATGAAAAAGTCCAGCTCAGAATAAGTGTTACCACTAAGAGACAAAGTGGGGATTAATGAAGATAGAGAAGGAGCATACATAGGGCATTAGTTACATTTGTAATGTTTCATTATTAAAAAATATATTTGAAGCAAATATTGCACAATGGTAAAGTCTGATAAGCTCTGTGATGGGTATACAGATATTACAGTATTCTCTATGCTTGAAATATTTCTTAATGTATGAATTCTAATACTGTGTAACAAGAAAAATCATTAAAATTTCCTGGTTTCAGCACTAGAGTAGTATTTATAACAGTAAACACATATACTTGTTGTAAGGTTCTAAGAATCTATTGCATTCCTAGTAAATTCAGAGATAAAATATTTCACATTTTCAAATTAAACAAGTGAGATAGGTCAGCTATGAAAAAGAATTTACATAAACTTACACTCAAGTCCTTTTTAGGGGGATGCTTAAGGAAAATGAGAAAATCTGTGGCTAGGCCTATAGAAGATAATTATATTTAATTTGGAAGTACAGATGGCCCTCTGTATCCATGGATTCAACCAACCGAAGATGGAAAATATTCAAACAAGAAAACATAAAACAAATTTTAAAAGCAGAATATAATAATTATTTATGCAATATATGCATTATATTAGGTATTAGAATTAATTTAGAACTCATTTAAAGCACATGGGAGTTCCAGTGTGCCTTCCATGGTGAAAAATAAAAATGTGAAAACAAAGTATACAGAAGAATGTGCATAGGTTATATGCAAATACTATGCCATTTCATAGGAAGGACTTGAGCATCCTAGGATTTTGGTATCCTGACGGTGGACTGAGTGGGGAGGATGGAGGGTTGGAAGGTGTCCTGGAACCAATCCCCTAAGGATAGTGAAGAACAACTATACAGGTTTAGGACATATGTGCTGAAATGATCACTGATGAAGTTTAACAGTTGCTTAAGTGGGGGGGTGAAACCCCTGCAAGTCAAATTCCAAAGATAAATTCTTCAAATCCTGACAATAAGCTCCTACATAGCAGCTAGTGTACTATCTCAATATGAATTATCTCATTTCTTCTTTATTCATCCCACATGAATAATTTAGCCAACAACTGACTGAGCCCACTGGGTATTAAGATAACATATGTTCAAAAGTAGTTTTGCATAATTCTTCTATGAGTTACTAACTTGAAAATCAGAAATGTAGTTTACATACCAAAACATCCATCCCGGGGACATATTTGAGGGTTATCATATAGTCTTTCGGAAGATTTGCCACCTACAGAGACAAAAAAAAAAAAAAAAAAGAATTCCATAAGAAAATTCTTATTAATTATATTTGTAGTGCTTTGGAGAAAAGCATACAAAACTGTTGTGCTTTTTAAAGTTACCAATGAATTTCAATATTTACATGTATATTGATTTTTAATCCTTGATTTCCCTCTGTAATGAAAGGCACCCTTCAAAATAGAAAAGTGATAATGCTAATTTTTTGGACTCCAAATGCAGTTATGGCTGGCTAGGTATAACCTACTGAGTTTTGGAAACATGATCTGAATTTCAGCTTCCACCTGTGATCTTGGAATTCCCCTCCAGGACTATTTTCCTACTTGTTCCTCCACAGAATTAATCATAAAATATATGCTTTTTATGTGAGTGGTTCTCAAAATGTGGACTTCAAAGTGAAGTGCCAGCAACAGGGAACCTGTCAGAAACGCAAATTCTCAGGCCATACCAGACCTACAGAATCTTACGTAACAAGTCCTCCAGGTGATTCCGATGTGCGCCTAAATTTGAGAACTACTATTTTATGTTGAACCTAAAAAATGACCAGTGAAACTTCAGGAACAATGCTACTTACAAGATGCAAATGCTTTACAACAAATAATTTAGAAAGACTCAGTCTGTGATGTAACTTAATTCTTTTGCCTTGGGCTGAACATTTGAGAAGTCTCAAATATTTGCCTAGGTTCTTTTGAAGGCTTTAAACAACGTCTGACTTATTTACATCAGTCATTCTGGCATAAGTGAATAAGCAACAGATTTGGGACAAGGGAATCTGGGACAAATCTAAACTCTGTACATTGGTTCCTCTCATTTATAAAATAAAGATCAAGATACCTATGTCAAATGGTCATTTAGAATTAAGATAGATGAATGTGCCAAACACATTATAAACACTCAATCCATGTTCTTTACTGAGAGCTATATTGGCAACTGACTTTGGAGGCATATAACCCTAGTAAGTTACAGAGTTCTAGGTTCTCTTCCTTCCTACACATTGTACTAACTTTGCTGGCCCCACACTTCTATCACCATTAAAATTCCCAGATGAATAATTTAGCCAACAACTGACTGAGCCCATTGGGTATTAAGATAACATATGTTCAAAAGTAGTTTTGCACCATTACATCTTCAAGGGTCTATCTTGCTTTGTAGACTTATTCTTTCCTTCATCTTGTCTCTAAATCTTTATCTTCCTTACAGAAAGCTAAGATCATGTGCATGTTTGCTAGACTAGGTCATCTCACACAAGTTTACCATAACATTTTCTGTATTATTCTGCTTGATCTTGTCAATAGTTTCTAGAATCTGAGAACAATTTATTGATAAATGAATTTAGGCATGGGCATAAGTAGTCAGATGGGAGTTAAGGCAGTAACTGATCTCATGGTGCTTACTACCATCCTACTTCCAGTAATGCCACCCGACACTCATCTCAGCTCTGAACTGAGGCACTTGGTATGGTTCCTCTTCCCTAAGTTCACATAATCATAAAATAGTAACCGTGTCTAACACTTACTAAATATCTACTATGTGTCAGGCACTGTGCTCACTATGGGCTTAGGCTACATTATTACAATTTATCCTCAGATCCCTCTGACATATTATCTCTATTTAACAGATGAAGAAACTGAGGCTTGAAGAGGTCAAGTGCCTTGACTAAAGTCACACAGCCATCACATGTTAAGTCTATACTAGAACCCAGGTCCCCCGAGAGCAGAGCCTTCCTTGTCTCAGCTCCACTACATATGTTCACACTCTACACCCTCTAGGCACTTGTTCTGAGTATATCAACCCTCTTCATGCCACCCTAAATAAAATATTAGAATCACTGCTGTTTTTTTTATTCTTTTTGGGGGACAAGGTCTCACTCTGTCACCTAGGCTGGAGTGCAGTAGCACGATCTTGGCTCACTGCAACCTCCACCTCCTGGGCTTAAGGAATCTTCCCATGTGTCAGCCTCTGGGATTACAGGCATGCACCACTACACCTGGCTGATGTTTGTATTTTTAGCAGAGAAGGGGTTTTGCCATGTTGGCCAGTCTGGTCTCAAACTCCTGGCCTCAAGTGATCTGCCTGTCTGGGCCTCCCAAAATGCTGGCATTATAGGCATGAGCCACCGTGTCCATTCCATCGCTGCTAATTGAAAAGACATCTGAGCTGCCAGACACAACGGCATTTTTTTTTTTCATTTATTTTTGGAGTTAACTCCCTCATTCTTTACACTTAACTTTCTTCCTCTCAAACTTTCCACCAGGCTTCCATAATTTCTTTTCTCTTCTTAATCTTCATCCTCATCTTTGAAAAGCAAAAGGGTCTAGTCATTTTATGTAAACCCTAGTGACAAGGACAAAGCAGACCTGTTGCAAGTGTGAAAACAACAACTGAGCAGCAATATTCTATCTTATCTTGAATAAACCAGGTAAATTAAAGGCATTCCACACAGAAAAGTGCAGCAAGAAGTGGCAGGTATTCTGAACACAAGCTGCTTGAAAATCCAGCCCTTTCTTACGCATAATTTATATTATTTTAAAAATACAAAAATACAATCAACTTGATTAGTATTTAGAAAGTGTGGGATCTGAGTATATGTCTAAAAAGCAAAGAAAATGTAAAGAGTATGGTGACCAATTCCATTTCATGAATAATTTATATACAAATATTGGTTCAAATAAGGCTTATAGGAAGTTCCCTGACAAAAACACTGGAATCTACACTCTACCACTGGCAGTGGGACAGTGTATAATAATAAAGTAATTTCTTTGTTAACCTGATTTATGGATATTCAGTTTCTGGTGAGATTGAAAAATAATACTGTTTTTGAAACGTGCTTTATAATTTAAAACAAGTTTTCATATACAGTCTCTACCACAACCCCATGAGAGATCATATTAAGCTCATTTTACGAATGAGGTCATAGAAACTCAGGTTAACTGGTATCCCCAAGGTCACAGGCATTAGGAGTAACTGGTGCAGGTAGGATGCAAACCCTGGCTTTCTGCGCTGGGGCTCAGCACACCTACCTATAGCGCTGTCTCCCCGTTATTACTTTCTTGGTTTTCATTGGTTTCTTTCTAATTACATTTGGAAGAGAACTTAGAAAGTCAAGTTGTAGATATTTGTGGTCACTTAATAAATTATTGTATTAATATTACTTTCTAAGCATTTATACAGGTTGAGCATCTCTAATCTGAAATCTAAAATAAAGCTGCATACATACAAGTCATGTGATCTTTGACAAAGTCAACAAACATACACAATGGGGAAAGGACTCCCTATTCAATAAATGATGCCGGGATAACTGGCTAGCTAGATGTAGAAGAATGGAACTAGACCCCTACTATTCACCACATACAAAAATTAACTTAAAAGGAATTAAAGATGTAAATGTAAAGCCCCACACTGTAAAAATCCTGGAAGAAAACTTAGTAAACACCATTCTGGACACTGGCCTTGGGGAATAATTTATGACTAAGTCCTCAAAAGCAATTCCAACAGAAACAAAAAATGACAATTGGGAGCTAATTAAACTAAAGAGCTTGTACACAGCAAAAGAAACTATTAACAGAGTAAACAGACAATCTACAGAATGGGGGAAAATATTTGTAAACTATGCATCCAACAAAGATCTAATATCCAGAACCTAAAAGGAATTTAAACAATTCAACAATCAAAAAATAACCCCATAAACAAAAAGTACGCAAAAGACATAGATATTTCTCAAAAGAAGATATGCAAGGGGCCAAAAAATACATGAAAAATTGCTCAACATCACTAATCAATAGAGAAATGCAAATGAAAACCACAATGAGATACCATCTCATATGGGTTAGAATGGCTGTCATGTTGGTGGGAGTGTAAATTAGTTCAACCATTGTGGAAGACAGTGTGGTGATTCCTTAAGGATCTAGAACTAGAAATTCCATTTGACCCAGCAATCCCATTACTGGGTATATACCTAAAGGATTATAAATCATGCCATTATAAAGACACATGTACACGTATGTTTATTGTAGAACTATTCACAATAGCAAAGACTTGGAACCAACCCAAATGTCCATCAGTGATAGACTGGATAAAGAAAATGTGGCACATATACAGCATGGAATACTATGCAGCCATAAAAAAGGATGAGTTCATGTCCTTTGCAGGGACATGGTTGAAGCTGGAAACAATCATTCTCAGCAAACTATCACAAAAGCAGAAAACCAAACACCACATGTTCTCACTCATAAGTGGGAGTTGAACAATGAGAACACATGGACACAGGGAGGGAAATATCACACATCAGGGGAAAGGACAGCACTAGGAGAAATACCTAATGTAGGTGATGGGTTGATGGCTGCAGCAAACCACCATGGCACATGTATACCTATGTAACAAACTGCACGTTCTGCACATGTACTCCAGAACTTAAAATATAATTTTAAAAAATGCCAAAAAAACGACAGATGCTGGTGAAGCTGCAGATAAAAGGGAATGCATATACACTGTTCAGCCACTTCGGAAAGAAGTTGGGGGATTTCTCAAAGAACTCAGAACTACCATTCAACCCAGCAATCCCATTGCTGGGTGTACATCCAAAAGAAGTCCTTCTACCAAATAAACCCATGCATTTGTACGTTCATCACAGTACTATTCACAATAGAAAGTCATGGAATCAACCTATGTGCCTATCGTGAACTGAATAAAGACAAAGTGATACATATACACCATGGAATACTATGCAGCCACAGAAAAAGAATAAAATCATGTCCTTCGCAGGAATATGGATGCAGCTGGAGGCCATCATTGTTAGTGAATTAACACAGGAAGGGAAAATCAAATATTGCATGCTCTCACTTAGAAGTGGGAACTAAACACTGCATACTCATGGCAATAAAGATGGCAACAATAGATACCAGGGACAACTAGATAGGAAGAAGGAAGACAGGGTTAAAAAAATTACCTATTAGGTACCATGTTCACTACCCAGGTGATGAGATCAATCATACC